ATATATATATATATATATATATATATATATATATATATATATATATATATATATATATATATATACCTGTATATATACAGTATATATATACAGAAAACACCATTGTGAGTTTCTCTTCTTACCTCCATCCTTAGTGCGACATCTCCTACATGTACGTATTTATGTGAGCCATACAAAGAGAAAATAGACAAACACAAAGAGAATTTGACAACTGGCCACATACGTTACGCTACAAGCCCACCATCCGATGTAATGCAGGCATTTTGTCATAGTTTTAGAAAGATTTTAATGTGCCACATTGAGCACAGTACTGTACAATTTTTCCTAAGAAATCCTTGAAAGACTATGGTTGGTCCTTTCAAAACTCCTAGGAGTTAGGTGGAGGGTGAGGGGACCTTAGGAGTATCCTTTGTTTTAACCATCAAGCACCTTGGTATTAATGTTCAAAGTCTAGATTTGCATACACTAGATTTTGCAAAAACTGTAAATTAATACACTAATAGAAAATTCAACTGTGTTACCAAAATGGATAAAGCATTATTACTGACACTAAAACACTTGTGGGAACTGCTTCAGAGTAGATATACAGTTCACCAGAACAGTAGAACCATTTCCTTTATTTAAATCCTCCTCTAGTGCATTTGCATCCTGTCCTGAATTAATCTGCCGCCCTGTTTTGATGTCATCCGCAAACTTGCTTATGTCACTGCTGATCCCAGTACTGTATCTAGATCGTTTATGTAGATTATGTACAAGAGTGGGCCCAGTACTGACCCTAGGGAACCCCACTGGTTACACAGCCCCACTCAGATTTAACACCATCTAGTACGCTAACCCTCTGTGTTCTATCGGTGAGCCATGATTTTATCCAATTTAAAACTTTCCCTTCGATATCATGAGCCTTAACTTTTCTCAGAAGCCTCTGATGCGGTACTCTGTCAAACGCTTTGCTAAAGTCTAAGTAAATAACATAGTAATTTTCGTCAATATCTACAGTATTACCTCGAAGACTTTCCTAAAAAAGTCAGCAGATTTGTTAGACAAGATTTTCCCTTTGTAAATCCATGTTGAGAGTCGTAGATTAATTTGTTTTTCTCTAAATGTGATAGGATGCTATTTGCTATAATTGATTCAAGAAATTTCCCCACTACTGATGTCAAACTTATCGGCCGGTAATTTGACACTGATGCTGTCTCCCTTTTGAATATGGATACGGTACTACATTTGCCTGTTTCCACAAGTCTGGCACAACTCCTGTGTCTAATAATTTTGTAAATAAACTTACGGGGGGTCCGCTAATCTGTTCCTTACACTCTTTCAAAACTCAAGGGAAAATTTCATCAGGCCCTGGGGATTTTGTCTTCTTTAATTTATTTATCTTCTTAAGAACATCCTTTTTTCTGATAGTGATATTCTTTAGTTTCTCTTCTTCATTTCCCCTAAATATCAGTTCCACCTCTGGCATTTCCTCGTGAATTTCTTCTGTGAAAACTGATAAGTAGCTGTTTAATGCTTTGCTTATTTTCTCACTATCATCGATCACTTCCCCTCTCTCTGACTTTAAAGGCCCCACTTTGTCCTTGACCTTTGTCCTATACAATGGAAAAATCCCTTTGGATTCGCTTTGGATTCTCTTGCTATCCTGATTTCATAGTCCCGCTTTGCTTTCCTTACATTTTTCTTAACATTCCTAGATAGTTCATTATACCTATTCTGAGATGCTCCTCCCCTCCCTTTAATTTCTTATAAATTCCTTTCTTTGTTCCTATGTCATGTTTAAGTTTTTTGGTCATCCACCTTGGCTCATTCTTATTTGACCTAATTTTTCTTTATGGTATATTTTGTTCCTGTGCTTTACGTAGTATACTAGTGAATATATTATAGTCATAATCAATTCTTGTGTCATCGGTGACCTCACCCGTTCCTACCGGGGACTGACCTGACTGTTCCCAGGCGACCTCACCTAGGTACCTTCTTACCCCTCATAATCCGCCGATCAAAAGTTTGGGACTCTGACCATATTGTCATTGTTTTTTGTTTCTCAATTTAGGGTGAACCTGATTTCTCTGCGATCACTGTTCCCTAGATCTTCCCCTACTGTGATATCTCTGATAATATTTTCTTTATTTGTTAATACTAGGTCTAATATATTGTCACCTCGAGTAGGTTCTGTAATTACAGGTAGTTGTTTTAAAAAAATGTCCTGTACTGCGTCTAGGAAGTCTTCAGATTCAGTCACCTATAATGTTCTCCCAGTCAATATTTCTGACGTTGAAATCCCCCATAATGCACAGGTTGTTGTATTTTGCTGCCCTACTCATTTCCTGCCATATGGGCTGAGCTGCTTCTTTCCCAAAACTTGGGGGCCTGTAAATTACTCCCATAATTAGTATTTATCTTCCTTCCGCAATTTCTACCCATACAGACTCGGTTCTTATTTCACCCTTTGTTGAATTATAAATACAACATTTTAATGTATCCCTGACAAAGAGTGCGACCCCTCCCCCTCCTTATCTTCCCTGTCCTTGTGAAAAAGGTTGTACCCTTCTAAGTGGTACCCTGATAAAAAGTTCTTGCTCGCCAGATTCATCCAAGTTTCAGTGATTGCTATGATGTCTACATTGACATCTAAACTATTACCATAAAGAAGGAAAGGGAAACTACTGTACACCAATATCCTGAACCAATCTTTTTCCTTTAACTGGTACAGTATCTAGGTGTTTACTGCATTGTGATAATTTTTTTACATAATTCCATTATTTCAATATACTGTACTGTACAACATTAAAATCCAGTGCTACCAAAAGGAAGAAACGGAAACTGTTCATTGCCCCTATATGGCAATTTGGCTGACCTCTGAATGCTTGATGTTTTGACAAAGCTGAACTATTTATAACTTTAGAAGTAAGGAACCACTTAATACCTGTACTAGCAAACTTGTTTTTAGGGTATCACTCAATGGCTTGGTACTAATAATAACACAGTTCAGTGATGGGTTTTATCAATTGTCTGATGCCGCAAAAGGGCCACAGACTATTTGCTATTTTTTTAATGAGTAAATTTAAAATCATATTATTTCTTGGTGTGTTACAAGATTGCCATTCCATGAATTAAAACATTTTTGGGAGTATCTCAGGTGTGGTTGCTCCTCCCAAAATTCTAGCAGAGTTTGTACTGTATACTGTATATACTGTAGTCCCTTGAGGATATTACATATCCAAAATACTGTACCTATAATATGCCAGGTTAGGTCGTTTGTGAGGGAAACATCACAGAACAAGTCTTAGAATTGTCGTAAGTATTGATTGCAACCATAAAATTCTAAATTTTTTTGGGTGGCAACAATTGAAATTTTGCAAAAAATACAAGTTAATACAGTACAGTACTGTATTTCACAATTTTTTGCTATTACCTGTATTCCTCATCATTTCTGCAGACTTACTAGTGTCAGTGTAAAGAACAAAATAACCAGTATTATTTTACTTGTTACCACCAAAGAATTTTGAGAATTTTATGGTTGAAATCAATACATAAACCAATTCTAAGACACTTTTTACCTTTGAAATTTCCCTTGTAAATGACTTAACATATCCCAGGAGCCCAGGGGGCAGAACCCCCAGTTAAGAGGTTAGGTTAGGTCGTTTGCAAGAGAAACGTCGTAAAAGAAATGGGTCTTAAAATTGTCTAAACTATTGATTGGGCTAATATGGAAGACTTCACAGCCTCTTCCCCCCCATCTCAATAACAGTAAGTTCACTTATGGCAGGTGTCAAGTTATACTAGGTTAGGTTAGGTTAAGGTTAGGTTCGGTGAAGGTAAGGTTAGTTTAAGGTTAGGTTAGTTTAAGGTTAGGTTACTTTCAGGTTAGGTTAGGTTACAGTTAAGTTAGGGTAAGATCAGATTATGTTAACTTAACTTGAACTTTTAAATAAACACTTTTTAACATATTTGCCATAACTACGACAGTCTCCACTATAAAACACGAGTGAAATTGCAGGGGTCCGACTAATTACCCAAATGTAGCCAAATGTAGCAAAATGAAGTCAAATAGTGGTCCTACATGAATAAATCGGACTGCTAATCACTTCTCAACTAGTATTTGGTGTCACAAAGTCACAAAATATTGGAAAACTTACTTTAATCTGAGTTAATAGATCGCGTGCATGTACCGAGGGAGCCGTAATGAAGTCAAATGATGGTCATACAAGCGTAAATCGGGCTGTGAATCACTTCTCGGTTATTATTTGATGTCATAAAGTCACAAAAAATTGGTAAACTTAATTTAATCTGAGTTGTGTTAGATTAGATTAGATTAGATTAGATCAGATTAGATTAGATTAGGTTAGGTTAGGTTAGGTTAGGTTAGGTACATGCACTTGATCTATTAACTCAGATTAAATTAAGTTTACCAATTTTTTGTGACTTCGTGACACCAAATACCAGTCGAGAAGTGATTGGCAGTCCGATTTATTCATGTAGGACCATTATTTGACTTCATTTTGCTACATTTGGCTACATTTGGGTAATTAGTCGGACCGAATTGCAGCATTTTTAAAATTAATTTTCTCTGAAAAATAGCAGCTGTGAAGTCGTAAGTAATTACCATTGATTACAACCAAAAAATTTTCGATTTTTTTTGGGTGGCAACAAGTGAAGTTTTCCCAAATAACCATCCTAGAAACCTTTACTTCCTCCTGAAAGTCTGAGCGACAGAAGACATGAAGACTGCAGTTATATGCTGATAATGACAATTCATATACCAGTGTTTATGAGGTATGTTTTCGTCTAAGGTTTGTAAATATAATCAGCAGGGTAATGTGCAAACACCCTATACAATTGTTACCTCTTGTACCAAATGCCTTAACGTCTATCAGCTTTCCTTAATTTTTCAGCGTCCATGTATGACTGCCCAAGAATTCTGCCATACTGCTACCACAGGACTCCGAGTGTCATTAAAATATATGATTTCGTATTTTAGTGTATCCACATAACAATATTACCTGCTTGAGCTGAGATGTCCCTAGAGGAGGTTCCATTGGAGTCGACCCACCTACACAGTAAACAACTCAGGCTGCCAGCAACACTCTACCGTACTGCCAATATTTAACCACCAACAACACAAGGCACTCCATATTTTACCCATAAATTGTCATTATTAATTGTGTATATTAAAATGTTGTACAAAATTTGACATTTCTTTTATCGATAACATGTTAATTTTACGGTACATTTCTGCGTGACGAGTAAAAATACCATCTGTGTTACGGTGTACCCGACTTATAGCAGCATCGATCACCTGATGCAGAGAGTGAAGTGAAGACCACGGAACTCTCCTTGTCAATCTAATAAAGCTTTAATCTCATTTCTTCAAAAATATATATATATATATATATATATATATATATATATATATATATATATATATATATATATATATAACCACAAGGAAAGAAGATATATGTGCAGTTAAAATAAACTTCAAAACTTTTCACGGAAGAAATGATTCTGGGATGAAAATTATAGAGTTATCTTGTTATTATCCTTATAGCAACATACATGTGTGAAAATATCTGATGGGCGATACTTTTACTTTTATCATCACCACTGACAGTCTGATCAGCTCATTAGCCACTTGGGCGGTCGGTTATGTCTTTAATATGCACTGTTGACAAGTACTGGGAATGCACTGGCTACTGAATGTATCTGAACATGTTCCAGTGTTAGTCAAGTCTGGTCTTGAAACAGCTCACACTCAGTGCCATCACAACAGATTGTTCCAAGAGTTCACAATTCTCACTCCAAAAAGTTTGCCCTCACAGTTTTCTGGAGTGTGACTTCTTCATCCTTAGCTGTGACCCCTTGTGGGGCGGGCGTCCACCAGCTCCAGGTATGGACATCCCACTGAGATGTTCCCCGCGCCAAAATAAATATTTTTGGAATCATCAGGAAAATCTACTTTCAGAAATATTTATATATATTTTTTGGACACAGTACATGAAACCAAAAAGACCTAACCAGACCAAATAAAAATAATATACAAGGAGCTTAATTATAATACAGGAGGTCCCCGACTTACGAACACCAACACTCATCGATATGGATGGGATTAATCTTGAAATTGACATTATTTTATTAACCTGATGACTTATTTTTTTTTACTTTAATTTTTTTTTATTGTATGGGGACTTTGGCTATGATATAGTGGGATTTTAAACATTGTTCTATAAGTACAGTATGCATAAAGCGTGTACAGGTATTCTGATTTGCATACAAATCCAACTTAAGAACATCCTGACTTCTGTGAAAGGCTTTAAGAAACAACTTAAGACCTTTCTTTCTTTAAAAGCTTATGATCCTGAACAGGGTACGGGGTGGAGAATGACAGGGTTTAGTAAGTATTACATCTTGGTGATACATGAACGATACAAATTTAACTCACTTTTTGTGACCTTTTATCATGCAGTGCTATACGTACAGTAGTTTCTTTTTATTCTCAGGTCCTTGAGTTTGTTGTGTTTTGATTACCGGTACTAATGAATTGTTAAGTAGAAGTGGGGCTTTTGAGAAACAAAAGACCAGCTACTATTATTATTACACAATCTTGCACATTTAGAATTGTCTGCAACTTGTCCCAGTTGTTATGGTAGTCAATCCTTTCTTTGGCACCTATAGTAATACTGTACAGTATAAGTTTAGTAACATGTTCAGTGAGGCCTGGGAGGCTGTAGATGGTGTGTTGTCTGATTTTAGATGTTGGTGGCCCTAGTGTCTTCCCAACTAGTACAAAAGTAATAAGCTTCTGTCTATTGAAGTGAAAGAGAAAGAAAAACTGCTCTCAAAATTATCTGATTATGAAGATAGTACACTATGTAAGTTTCCTTCAGATGAAACTAGTGAAATAACAAAAACAGTGATGAAATATGAGTGGCAAAAGGTGGAAAATATCATGCAGAATGGCTGTCCCATTACTGTCGTGAGCAAGCGCAGACGATGCAAGTGGCATATTATCAAGCATCTTTCAATGCTCTGTGTCACATTAAATAAAAGTGCACTACACTTTTTTGTTCATAACTTATATATTCATTTTTCCTTATTTATGTAAGTAAAAATTATTGACTTTTGCTGCAAATGGAATTAATGGAAGTCAACTCAATGGCTACAGGATAAAGTCAAGTGATGCCTTCAAGATGATGTGTGGTGCCATAGAGCTTGTTACTGAAAATGACCTTGATGGAGCAAATCACAGGAGTAAAGAGAAATATGTTTCAACACATTTGCCTCCTACAAAATGCTATGTGGCAATAAGTAGAAGGCTAGACAGACAACTTTTTATGACTTCCTTGTCAAGAATCATGAAGCCTCACAGGAGGGTGCATCATAACCTGGCCCTTCCCAGTAGTAGCTGCTCCCTCTAGTTTCTCATTGCTGTCAGGAAGGACTAGTAGGTAAGAGGCAGCAATGGTTAACCCATCCTCCTTGTAGGGTGTCAATCTACTAAAGTGTTGTTCCATCAGTGACAAGGGCTCCTAGCAGTGTACTTCTTTTATGATTAAGTATACAAAGAGGTAATGCAATCCACCATGGTTGGGAATTAAACAAAGGACCCTTCTCTTATAATATAGATGCTCTGAACAAATTGAAGATAAAATAAAAGTCATATTCGAAACTTTTCATTTATTCAAGGTCACCAATAATTTAAAAAAGCATATTCATTACAGAATCAAGTGTACATACAGTTAAAAATGCAAAACTATGAGTACAAGATACAAAATGGTGGGAGCGAGGATATGTTAAAATTAATGTGAGAATAAGGTATCTCCAAAGGTCAAAGGTGGACAAAGCTAAGTTTGAGACCTCCCTGAGCCCATAATGAAGGACCCCCAATTAGCAGTCCAAAGCCATGACTAGAGGGGGCAGTAGAGATATGCTTCCATTGATAACCAAGTACAATCTTTGAGTTCCAGTAGTAAATGCAACACTAAAGAAAATTAAACATGACAATACCGTGATAGTTCTTATATACAATCGATTTATGCATGCAAAAATCTTTAAGCATTACAAATTACAACTGGCTGCAACCCTAAAGACATGGCACCATCCTTTAGGACGACCTATCCTCATATGTCTATTACATATCCACATACAAAATCCTACAAATAAGCTTACTACTAATACAGTGTTGATAAACATGCAACATGTTAAAAGTGTGTACGACTGAAATCACAGGTTAGGAGACCAGAGATTGAAAAAGATATATTGTATATAAATTTAATACCATGAACTTTGTGTTAATTCCCACCCACTTTGTAGTTATCTTCAGATTGACTTTTTAAAAGGTTTTGGCCAATGTTTCAATTTTGATCAGTTGAAATTCATTAAGTAGTATCCCCATCATGGGATGTAGAAATACTGATAGCAATACAAAAGCATACACAAGACTGCAGACAGAGTAAAACCATTAACATGGAATACATTTGCCAATGGTCATAGTGTCCCAGCAGCAAAGGAAGAGGTAGGAACACATGGATGTCACTTGTGTGAGGTGACCGGCTGCTGTTGTTGCTGCTGACACCTTAGACGTTTGGCTTTATACTCTACTTGCCCTGTGTTTATTTATTTATTTTATATATATATATATATATATATATTTATTTATATATATATATATATATATATATATATATATATATATATATATATATATATATATATTTATTTATTTTTTCTTTTTACATGGCCTGCCAGCCATAAAAAATTTCAGGGCAGTATAAATTATCAATCCGTACTATGGTCATCCTACATTCACTAAATGACGTTTCTTGTCCCTGGGGTGTTGCTAATGGCAGTGTTTATCAAGATGATCACTCCTCTATACAATTCCAATGCTAAAAATGTTTCTGAAATATTAAAGACCATACACATTCACCATGCTGGCAGTGAGGAGGCTCACATCAGAAACTGGGGTGGACAGCTGATAATTTTTTTTATTCCAATAAAAAAATGTGCACATCAAGACATCCTGCCTTGAGAGATGTGGCAGGCCAGGTAGAGCATCTCTTGAGCCTTAATATCTAGGGTCCCTCCACTGGATCATGACACAAACACCACTTTTCACCACCACCTCCGCTACATAGCCCTTGGAGGTGCTGCTGCTTTCAAACTGGTTGCTGTACATCTCTTCATAACATATTTTAGGATATCTTGGATTACAATGTACAAATTAACCTCATAAAGAAATTGAGAAAATTTGCCCACATACTCCTAAGTCCTTACACAGATTGGTATTTATAAATGAATACCTAAATGAGCACATATTGGTAGAGACTGGATATGTGCAGAGGAGGTGGTAAATCTTGGATTCACAGTTTATATGCACAGGAAACAAATCCTCTACCTAAATCTCCAGATTCAGACGGAATGTTTGCATACACTGACTCAGTCAATAATGTGTAGGAAATGGACAGTTCTAATCAACTTATGCTCTTCCTATTCTTCGTCATTTATATGGCATTCTTTGTCTTGTAGCAGGCTATACATGCCTGTTAGCATGCAGACAAGAGGTCCTAATTTTGTGGCATGTACAATGGAATGTGCTGCTTCCCAGTGGATGCCCGCACATTGAGAAGCAAGAAGTAATTAGACAGGTACACATACTGAATCCTTTCCTGAGGACTCAAGTTAGAAGAACAATACAACAGCCAGGCACGTCATTCTGTTGGCTAAGGTCATGTCTGCTCGTGGACTTGCTGTAACATGAGACAGCCGAATCACATTTGAAAGGTGGTACCAGCAGTTAAAGCCTTGGTCACTTGTACTTGAATATTATTTTGTGAATGGTAGATGCTATCGAAGCAGGACTGGAACCACTGCAATTTGTCCTACAAACTCTTTGGCGGTGGCATGACTAGCAAGATCCAACAATGTGTTTCTCTGTATCACAACCAGTCCATGTCATGACCTGGGAACCTCAAGCTCATTTGTACTTTTGGACACACACCAACACCTTAACTCAAGAGCCTTGGTCATCAAAAACTTAATGCTACACAAGTCCTGTGGCAGTAGGAGGGCAATGTGGGCTTGACTCACAAACTGACAACAATACTAGATGAAGGACGTTTATCATATATTTTTGATCCTTGGTTCAACAAAATTCTTTTTTCTTTTTTACTACGTACTTCATTTTATGATGGATAAATTTGTGAGGTCCTACAATCTCAAAAAAGATTTCTGAAAACTGCCCCCTAATCTTGAGTCTTTAACAGTGCAAATGTAGAAAAGCAGCAGATGCCTCCTTGTTCTCTCCAGAAGGTGATGGTATCATGGCAGTGCCTATGGCTTGTGTCAAGTAGGTAAAAACCAATGTCCGCCATATCGCAGGGAACTCAAACTCTTCTTGTTTGGTGAAATCTGAACAACCTGATGGATATACTGTAATACTTATCTAATAAACCCTTTCTTCATCCCAGTTTTGGTTTGGTCTCATATTCTGGGCTTATAGGTAAGGGAAACGTGTACTCTTTGGACGTCTGTTTCTGTACAGTCATGATCAGTGAGGGCAGGGGAGGGGTCAGGTACTGGGGGGGTTGCTCTCCGACGAGGGCTAGACATATAATCTCCAGCATGTGGAGGTGTCTTTACATCTGCACTCGATGACCTTCCCCTTGATCCTTTCTGTCCATTTTCTTTGTCCTTTTTACTTGAAGAGCGTCTAACTAATTTGCGATCTTTATCCTTACTAGATGAACGACGAACTGAGCTTCCTACATTTTCACTACTTCCTCCACCTGTTTGGGTAAACAAAGAGTAAAAAATTATTATTTCCTCGAATATTATCTTAAGAAAAAAAAATATTACTTCAAGACAAGATATACTGTACTTCCTGTTCATAGTTCATCACTTAAGGAAAGAGGCTTTTATCACAAGATGGCTGGAAGCTCCTTTCCAGAAACTATTTATAATGGTGTACTGTTTGGTGTTTCATCTATGATCAATGTGCAGATTAGATTTACAAATACACAATAATGCCATATAGTACATTTTGAAAATGAACTCTGCACATGAGGTGTTGCAGATATTAGTAACGACCTCAACATGGATGCAAAAGTCTGTTTTTTATTATTATCAATTCTTCTGAATCTGTAGAAGAAACTGGACAATGTCCCAAGGTGCAAGGTCGTTATAAGCGTCAGAAAAATTACACTAAATTTGAGGGCATCTCTGTGCAGGAAGGAAAGGCCACCTTTCAATATCTACAGGATGTGGATGATCCTGAGGAGGACCAGCCTGAGTAATTAACTCACCTCAACACTTCTACATCCATCCACATAAGCCATCATTACCTCCACCATGAGTAAGTACCCTAATATCTAATATTTTTTAATTGTATTCCATCTCCCCAAACATATTGGTGTATTCTCACTAAAAGGTAGATACATTTCCAAACAACATGGTACAAAGCTCATGAAAATTGACTTATATTCGGGTGAATAATTGTCATTTTTGTATAGAAAAACCTCGAAGGTTGTTTTCTCAAAACATTATTTTTGCAAGGTTTTCACCAATACTTGCAACACCTCATATTTTCAGAATTTTTTTCGTTAAAGATTCAGCATAAAGCAGATTAAGTGAAGTTCTGACACAGAATGGTTGGCCAATAAAATTTATTTATAAATCAACATAAGAATTCTTTACTAATATGTATTTGTGTAACATCTTATATATTTTTTAAGGAAATTATTCTTTTGTTAATGATGATGATAATAAAAGTTCATTAATTTATACAGTATTCACATTATGGTAGCTTCAGTTATCAGTGAACATGAAATCAGTACCATAATCAATCTAAATGTTTGATATTGAAAGTCATGAAAGTTTTTGGTCTCCTTCCAACAAAACCTGCATTTGAAGGTACAGTAATTCTTAAATGCTTATCTCCTAAACTAAGGGATGCTTCCCTAATTTCAACTTGCTATTTCTTTCCTGGTCATCCCCTCTCCCTCCTACCATTCACACCTGAATCATACACCCTGCTTTACCGATCTTCCACTTCCCACTTCTCTATGTCTCATCGCTTTAGTAGACACTGATCTGCTCTCTCTATGACACTTTCACTACCACATCTTTTTTTTTTCTGCATCCTATTCACCCCACATTACTGTCAACAATGCCATTTCTGTTATTTCTAATCTACTCCTTCCTCTATCCAGAAATTCTCTTTTGTCCTCTCCTATCTCTCCATACAATTCTTTATGAACCAATTACTTTCTCTTCCCTCTTTTATGATTAATCCATTACTCACTGTTTTATTTCCTGCTGCATCCACTCCTTCATAGCTAACACACCTCACCACCTACATTCTATTACTATTCAAATTAACATTTTCATACTCACTGGAAGAATGTCAACTTAAAACCCATTGTTCTTTTTTTATTACTGATAACATAAAGCTTCCTGAACAGCAATGCATCTACACAGTTAATAAGATCAAACGATAAGCTTGACATTCTAATTACAGTACAATCATGAAGAATTAAAATATGTAACAAAGAATAACTGACTTAAAATTTTTAGTAAACAGTTTCTTGCAAACCTGAAGGGGGTCTGTTGATGGATCCTGAGCGTAGTATATAAACAGCATGAGGCTGGCATTCAACATCAACTGGTGTTAAGGGCGACGCATGTGGGGAATGGGATAAGAACCACTCACTGCGCGTCCTCATCCGGCCTGTCTGTCTTTCATGTACCTGATAGGTAAAAGTCAGAGATAAGTAACATCACTGCATGATCCTCTTACTAAAACCTCTAGAGTAATGTAGTTTTAAGATGTAGATTTATCAGGCACTGTAACTTAGCCATATGTGAGATACTGTATTAGTATAGTAAATATGCATATAAGCAAAACTGAAGTATTACCACATATATATGAACAAGGGTGTAATTCTGTTTCCTATTTGTACTAAAATATACAGGAAAGAACACAATTAATTCAAGCTTTATATATTCCATGCATATTTTCCATTATTAACCTTCAAGCTCAATTAACAGTTTTTAAAATTCAGCTTCATTGTACAGTATTTTTCTTACCAGAGAACTGAAGTGTAATTACCAAACTAACTTTTACAATTAATATGAACACTGTTCATGACAATCTATTGCCTTACAATTTTATGAACAAACTCTTTCAACTCATTTTGTGAAGAAAAAATCTTGATAAGTAGCCATTCAATATGTGACAATTCTTTATGAAAGATATTTATATTACAAGAAACAAACAAAGCCAAAAAAAAAATTACATACAGTACAAGGAAAAATTACGGAACAATTAAAAATTTTCCAAGGTCATTGGGTAATGTGAACATCTTATTCTATACCGTCTATGATTAAATAGCATTTCTATACAAAAACTACATTACTTTAGCAACAAACAAATCATTAGGTTAATGCATGCCAGCAACTGTAGCTGGTACTGATTAACTGAAAACTAGGCTTGAAGCTCCACACACTATAATGAAAGGCCATAAAATAATTCAAAAAACATAAAAATTTCAAGACTTACTTCTATAAACATAAAAAGACAGTGCATGCACAAAGATATTATAAAAGATAAAAATTTCCAGAACCACTAAAGAAAATTAAACAATACAGGGGAAATTTAAGGCATGAAACATACAGAAACTACCGAAAAAATTGCAGCAGTTGTCTTCTGAGGAAGAACCTCTCACTCCCTCACATACAGCCACATAACCATTAGCTTACAAAGACAGTTTCAAAATGTGTAGTGATGCATACAGTGTGAATGACATACCATATTTACTTAGTCAAATGTGAAATGCTGTAAAGTGTAGCTAGTGGATGTCTTATATGCAATTATATCCAAAATGTAAACAACAAAAATACTTATACAGTACTTACTTTACTTCATTTCAGTATCTTAACTGAACTTTATATTTGATATCACTGCAGTATCTTAATTGAGTTCTCTTTAGACTGGTATGAAAAATCATAAAGATAGACAAGGCCAACCACACTTCAAAAACATACATGAAAGACCTCCAAAGTTGATGTCAAGATCTTGTGAAGAGATCCCAGTATCCAAGTTTGTGTTACATCACATAAAGACTGGAACATAGATCATACATAGACAAAGGAGTGGAGGGAGAAGAGCTTTTGTTTAAATGGACTTTATGTAATAGTGACAGTGCTGGGTGGAAATACAACAGGTCAACAAAGTGTGTATGTGCAAATTTGTGTGTGTGTGTGTGTGTGTGTGTGCAAAGTAAAACCTCTTTATTTAGATTTATTTCCCTTTTCTTAATACCTGGACATTAATATTTTTGTAGTGTAAATAATTGAAAAAAAAATTTCCTAGAGAGCTTATGCAAAAGAGGATTTACTTTATCTATATTGTGAGGTGCATATGTATAGTGCTTTGCAGGGTGTTGGTTCATATATCTCCCTGCTGACCTGGGGCAGGTAGGAGAGACTCTTGGTACTTTCAGCGTAGCGGTTGACTTGTCGTAGCTCATCCAAGGTCATACGAAGGGCTGAGTGTGAGCTGCCACTGCTGCTGTCCTGCCCATTACCCTGTGGCACATCACACACAGCAAAACACTCAATTTCCTCCAACACTCAGTATCATACTATAGAGTGAATAGGTACTACCAAGATAATGCCAACTGAATACAAAAAAGCTTCTGTAGCAAGAGTCATACTATTACAGGCACTTATTTTAAATTTTTGCTTTAATTCAATTCAGTACCTCAAATTTACTTTCAGACTCAGAAGAAGTTATGTCACACACTCATATGACACAAATGTTCATGCATTTCTCTTCTCTGTAAAGGTTTAAATTACATTCCTTCTTTTGCATTTCCATTCTCTCCAAAGGTCTATATATGGATTTACTCTCTTACAATTCTCTTTACTGACTATGCCTAAAAAACATCCATGTTCTAACATATCCTTCACTATGAAGTCAACAAATAAATACATCCAAAATGAAGTTAGAAATTGACAACTGAGCAAAAAATAAATGATTTAAGCTTTTTGCAGAAATACAATATGGAAATTCCATCCTTAGGAGGTCATAGAAAAACTTTTTCCCTGGATTCACATTGGCAAAAATTCAGTTAAATCCAAGACAAATTTCTCTGGATTCTGTACCCAGCAAACAGGCAAGAAGGTCAACAGGGTCACAAGTGATGACCTCTACATACAGTAATTTAAGCTAATCTGGTGAAGTGAGATGAATAGTACTGTAGTGGATATTGAATAATTATTATTACATATGAATAAATACTAAGCTAAAGCATAATATTTAAAAGTTGGTCTTACTGTACACCTGAGAATCGATTTCTTTGAAAAAGCTAAGGATTTGTCAATGATCCTTTAAAAAAGGCAACCAGAAAAAGTAAAAAAAAAAATTGAGGATAAATTTAATGTGAATGAAAATAAACTAGTGCAGTCTATTACTTATGAGGTAAATTTGCCATGGCCATAGCGAGGACTATGCAAACTTGAAATTAGATACGGTAATGATCAAGAAATAAACAGAGAAACCACCTCAATACAACTGTTGTTGACTACCAATGATATAGAGTAGATAAAAAAAAGAGTTGTTTACATCAACCAGAACATAGTCAAGCTCCTAGTGACAGGACAAACAAGGTAACTGATAGTCATTAAACAGCAATAAACAGTATTATATGTGGCACCATGACATCATCGAAGGGGGTTGGATGGGAGATGGGTTTATGGATAAGCAGCAATCTTACCCCTAATCTGCCCAATGCCTAAGACGTCGATGGTCTTAAGTCACCTATAATTGTAATGATTACACACAAATACCACAGTTACCATATGAAATTAATTTTTCTTTATGATAACTGTTTACTGTTCTGTCCCAAACTGAGAATATAATGATGCTGATACAATAAATGAAATCCCAGCAGCATCTCACAGGCCAAAAATAGCATATACTTAAATTAAAAGTTCTCCCAGCATGTCAGTCAGGCAAGCCATTCATGAGCTGCTAAATACAGCTAAAGAGTACAGGTGATTGAACACAGGATGCACAATTATGTGTTATAAAATAAAAATACTGTAAGTGAAATACAATAATGTTTTCTGTTAAATTCCATCTGGGAATACTGTGTTACAGTATTGTTAAGATACTTAACCCTTAAAGCCCAGGTGACGTTCATCTACGTTCACTAAGGCAACCCCGGGTGACGTTCCTCAGCATTCTATAGTATCCTTTTCATATATATAAATATATATAAATCCCATAGGTTTATGTAATTTTGGACAATGTCCATTTCAGTTAACATCACGTTTCCAAGAACGTATCTAGGACGTTAACCGGCGCATGACTGTATATATATATATATATATATATATATATATATATATATATATATATATATATATGTTATATATATATATATATATATATATATATATATATATATATATATATATATATATATATATATATATATATATATATATATATATATATATATATATATATATATATATATATATATATATGCAAGTAAATCACTGTAGGTGCGCTGTGATCTAGTATATGCTGATAACCACAAGGAAAGAAGAAAAACACGAAGTTCTCAAGCTTTTCGTAATTCACATCTTCAGAGGTGAGATATATATATATATATATATATATATATATATATATATATATATATATATATATATATATATATATATATATATATATATATATATATATATATATACACAATTAACCCTCACTTCTGCGGTCCCACATTCACGTTTATGCGGTGCCCTGCCGGAACCCAGGATGCTCATTCGCGGTGCGTGTACCCCTTTGCTGCGGAGGCGGCTGGCAAGCACGCGCATTTTTGAATCAAAACCTCCGCCATCCGCCATGTTGTGTTCTTGCTGAACATGGTGCTGCGCCTAAGGTAGCCCAGTCATCAAAACATTACCAGTTCTTCACCGCCACCCACAGCCGGCCCAAGTCAGTGATAGTGATAATTATGGTGAGGATATGGACTTATATGGACTTTGGAGTTTGACAAAGAGGCCCTGCAAGCCTCTGTGGTGGATAGTGATACAATTGATACAAGTGACACAGGTGAGGGCCAATAATCTGCCCTCTGCCTGAACCAACCGCCCATCTGTGTTGCCCAGCCATTTTTCTACTAATGTAAGTGTTAAAAACCTAATATTATTGATATTTCTCTTAATTATTAATTGTGTGTGCATACCATCATAAAGTTAAGATAATATTGTTACTACAACATAGTTGTGTGTCGTCAAAAGTGGAGTTTGGGATGGCCCAGACTCATTTTAATCCCATATGTTATGTTATTCACTTTATGCTTTCTCACTTTGGCGGACCTCAGGTTACATTAACCAAAGTGAGGTTAATTGTGTATATATATATATATATATATATATATATATATATATATATATATATATATATATATATATATATATATATATATATATATATATATATATATATATATATATATATATATATATATATATATATATATATATATATATATATATTTCATGTAAATCCACAAATGGAAGTGGATAAGATAAATCTTGATAAAATCTGCAGCAAAGTGAAACAGCAGTACCTTAGCTTAGGTCTTTTATTCAGACATCTCAGAGACATCTGAAGTTGCCTCTGAAGATATCTTAGACAAAGAAATATATATATATATATATATATATATATATATATATATATATATATATATATATATATATATATATATATATATATATATATATATATATATATATATATATATATATATATATATATATATATATATATATATATACATACATATATACATACATACATACATACATACATACATACATACATACATACATACATGCACACATACATACATACATACATACATACATACATACATCACATACATACATACATACATACATACATATATATATATATATATATATATATATATATATATATATATATATATATATATATATATATATATATATATATATATCATGTAGATCCACAATGAAAACAATGAAAACGTGGATAAGATAAATCTTGATAGAATCACACGGGAAAAGGGAAATAACGGAGCACCTTAGCTTTCGTCTTTATTCAAGACATCTTCAGATATAAAATCACCGATCTCACCAGCCAGGAATCGAACCCTCGACCTACTAGGTGGGACTAGGGAATGCTACCGACCAACCCACAAGGACACTAAAAGCAGTCCTAGACTCTGTTATATTTCACACAAAGCCTGTTCATCAAGCTGATGGCGCCGTGAACCTCATTGGGAACTGCCCGTACCTCGAATGTGGTGTCAGTAGCCATTTACCGAATCCAGCTGGTATGAAACACGAGGTACCATATATATACTTCATTTTTAGTCCATATAACACGCAAAATATATGACGTTTATATTCAAATTATACGCTGTCTTGCAAGGATTCCAACAATGCAAATTATATTCTCCTAACTTTAGTCTGAGATATTACAGTGATCCCTCGGTTAACGAGCGCCTCGGTTAACGATTTACCTTCCATAAGATTCTTAACTTCGTTTAACGAGCAATCCCTCGATTAACAAGTTTTTTTACGAGCCGACTCCAACATGCTTTCGCTTGCATTTGGCGGTCCACCAGCTGTAGTATTAGTCCGCCAATACTGTAATCGGTTTTAGTGCTTAAATTCCTTACTATTTTAGTAAATATCAAGAAGTTTATACTATTCAATAATTTTAAAAGTTTAATATTAACTTTTTTAGTCATTTTAACAATTATTGAACTTAATTGAAGGTAAAGAAACTAGTTTCTGACGTGCCATCCAGCCTGTTAACACACCAGACAGGCGTTAGTCTCTCTCTGTTTCCAAGCAAATTATTGGTCATTTTGAAATTTATTTTACATATTGACAATATATAATGCAGTGCAGTGTTGATTTAAAGAAAATAATCTTGAATTACACCAAGAGAACTAAAATTTTATGGGTGAAATGGTGCCATGGGGTGACTTCTCTTCCACCCCAATGCCTTCTCTTCTCCCTTCTCCTCCAACCCCATTCTAATTCCCATCATCATCATCATCATCCAGGAGCCTTCTGCACACACACCTCAAAGTAAGTGTACTTTTCTACCTTTTTTGTTGAATTTAGGCAATTTTCGGTGAGCTGGAACCAATTACCCAAAAACCCATTGAAACAATGGTTTCGGTTAACGAGTTTTTCGGTTAACGAGCAACCTGCTGGAACGGATTGTGCTCGTTAACCGAGGGACCACTGTATATAAGATACACTTTAAAGCCTAATGAAAACACCAAACTTTTCTCTAGGAAGGCGGGGGAGGGAGGGAGGGAGGGAGCGTGGGAAGAGGTGGGGAGCGGGAGGTGAGGTGTATTTTGATTGACAGATAATGTGTCTGGTGAAGTATTTAATTTGTTTATTTGCTTGAGATTTTGTTTTTAGCTCATAAAATTCATAGAAATGACAAGGGCAGAATATAATTTACATTGCTGGAATTCTTAAGATAGTGATTAATTTGAATATAAACAAGCTAAAATTTGCATTAGACATACAAATTTTAGATCTAATTTAAGAATTTTATAAGAGAGAGCAAAAATTTTATCTTTTGTGCAAAATATATGACATTTATATTCAAATTATTCACTGTCTTGCAAGGATTCCAGCAATGCAAATTATATTCTCCTAACTTTAGTCTGAGATATTATATATGATTAAAGCCTATTGTATAACCAGAATCCTTAACTGGGAGGAGGGTGGGGGGGTTGGGAGAGAGGAAGGGAGGGGTGACAGTGACATGTTTGACAGTTAGGCCAAGGTCTGGTGAAGTATTAATTTGTTTATTTATGTCCTTTAGATTGAGTATTTGTTTTTTGCTTATACAATTTCATAGAAGTGACCGGGGAGAATATAATTCACATTGCTGGAATTCTTATAAGATAGTGATTAATTTGAATGTAAACATGCCATAGTTTGCACTAGACAAAAATTGTAGTAATCATTTTGTACATTATTCTGATTACATGTACAGTTCAGCTTTGTTCTTAGGACAGTGTGTGTGCATGTAAATAAGTTTCAATAAATGAATAAGGTTACATATAACGAGCCAAAAATAATAGTTGAAAACTTTATGTGGACAGAGCTTGGATGGCTAAATTTTAGAATGACCAATAATTTTAATATTGTATAAAAAAAATGCACAAATATTAAAGAGCACAATTTTCTTTATATTTACTCCAGTGGAAACGAATGTAAACATTAAAGAGATAACTGAATTGGCTGAATACCTCCTCAGCTTATCAGCTGAAGTTCAAAACAAAACGTGATTTTCCTAATGATTTCGTTAATCAAATTTTTTTTGTTAACCGAATTGAAGATTGTTATGAAAGGTAATTCGTTAGCCGAAATTTCATTAACTGAGGCGTTCGTTAACCGAGGGACCACTGTAACTAGTTTGCTCTACTATATTAGCAAAAAGTTATCACAATTTCTATACTCATACATACAAACTTATCCATATTAATAGCAATTTACAGTTAGTGAAGCAACAGCATATAGATCACAGCAACAGGAAAAGAAAGAGCTGGAATTACAAAGTTATCAATCTGTTCAGGTTAGCAAACAATTCTTCATTTACATCATTTTGTTAATTGGAGGATTTTCTGTACTGCAAGACAAGTTCAAACTACAATGCAAAACATAAAGTACTAAAAACAAACAAAAAACATACCTTATACAAGCCATTTTCCTCCAATGAGATAGAAAGGCGTGTGCAAGATTCACGCAAGTTGTTTTCCGGTACACCACCCACTGGGCCTCCACTTCCGCCTACGGCCCCCATCTCACTGTTTACTCCTCCAAGGAAGGTCATACCACTGCTGCTTTCCGGGATGTGAATCAATGCTGGGGTGGACTGTGATTCTTCCTGACCGGCCATGGCTAAAATGGATTTACAATGAGATAAAACACAATATAGCATTGCAGAGTACATGAAGTGTGTTACAAGTACAGTATAGTACTTATGTGTGTAAGATATTAATAAAAAATAAAAATAAAAACGAGAGAGAGACTGTACAAGGATAAAACAATACCCAAGCTTAAATTTTTTGTATTACCCGGTACATAATCTTTTCCTGTGAAATAAACTTTCATTAACATAAATAATAATTTCAAAACTAAAACTAAGGTTACTGTACATGACATACAGTATGTTCTTAAAATTAAACTGATGTATTGAAAAAGAATAATGAATTAGTGTAAAAATTATAACGACATAACCCAAATGTGATGAAACTTTAAACTTATGATTTACAGAAATCGTAGACTAACAACATTGGTCTTGCAGTGTTTGTTAAATGATTTACCTTTCACTACAGGCACTACACACACATACCTACAAATCCTAATTTTTGGCCTGAAGTTTACTGATATCATACACCATCATAATGTTGCACCAACTCGGCCAATAATTTATCGTAAATATATAAGTGCTATGACAGATGACAAATATCCACCCACCTCCCATGGGCCAAAAGAAGTACCAATCACCCCCATCTGAATTTAGTACTACAAATACAGTATTCCGAGTACCTGTACAGAGATACAGTACTGTATTAGACTATCATAAAATACAGAAAGCTGAATATGGATGGCAGCCATGCTCCAGCTTAACCTACACACTGCATCCCACTCCAGGGTCAGCATTTTCTGTTACTATGATCAATAATAAAACCAGTTGACCTACAATATGTTTGTTTTGCTTCAACCTCTATCCCAGATCATACATTAGTTCTAGAATCATTGATAATTTTATTTTTTTTTTTATGTAAAAGATTGGATCTTTCGCATCTGAAGCTAGTGGATAACTCTTATTATAAAATATTTACATTAGCATAGCATATCATTTGAGTGCACAACAAGAAGGGTCTCTACACATACAAGGTTTCAACTCAAAGGGTTTTAGCTTCTGCAAGTGTCCCAGCGCTAACAGAAGTTGATTTGAAGGGACTTACTAATTACAATAATATACAAGTCAATTCTCCTAAAAAAACAACAAAAAAACATTTACATCGTAAAGATATGCATTCACACTACAGTACAAACAAACAAACAAAAATTTTCACTCTCTCTCCCTCTATACATGGCTATACAGTATATTGGAACATAAGCATTTGTTTTCAATGGGGAATAGCCCACCCGGGCACAGGTCATCTACCCACAAAGGGGCCTCCAAAACACATACCCTTAAAATAACGCACACACACTTCTGTACCAACATCACAACCTACACTTAAGAGATTAGACTTAGTTTTCTAAATCAAACTTAAACCTAAAAGAATTCAGGTTAGGCTTGGATTCAGACTGACAACTATGGTTTTGGACTGGATCAAGATGACTCCGATTCCTTTCTGATTCAAGTTGGGGTTAAATTTTTGAGAACCACGTTTTATTGGCTTTCAGGTTACTTTGTGGTCAATATTCAATGAAGACACAGTTATGGCAAGTGACAAAAATATACACTCCTCGCCATTGCATTATGTACGAGATGGCCAACGGGAAGTGATCTTTGCTGAAGTGTCTCACACCCCTCCACACCAGCCAGCTGGGGCTGAGATAGGCATTGTAATTCTGGAAGCGAAGGGAGACTCGAGGACAAGTCAGCCAGCAAACAAAACATTCACCAGTTGCCCGAGTACAATTTGTGAACGAAGATTTATAAGTTTTACCCCCCCTCCTCCGACATTGCCCCAATTTATTGCCACAACACTCGTTTCTTTGCCATTTTTACCACAATGGGCAAGAGGAAAGATATAACAAAAGAGCAGATAGCATCAATTATTAGTCTGCATAAGGGCAAGAAACCTGTAAAGGAAATATCAAGAATTGTTGGTGTGAATGAACAATCAGTTCAGATTTGGATTAAATGATTACGAGGTAACAGCAGGTTGGCAAAACCAGTGCACAGCAGACGGCCAGAGAAAGCTCGAAAAACTTTCCAACGTACATTAACTGTTCTTAAGAGGCAACCTGATGCTAATCCACGTCTGTCAGCACGGGAATTGAAAAAAAACCTTGTACTTCTAGGTGATGTTTCTGTAAGGACCGTTCACTGTCGCGTCCATGATGACCTGCAGTTTCGCACCCATCGCGCACGTAAGAATCAACTCCCCACCCTTGTCCAGAGGCAGCGTAGGGTTGCTTTTGCCAAGGCCAACGCTCAGTGGGATACGACCAAGTAGCAGCACGTGCTGTGGAGTGACGAGGCAAAGTTTTCCGTTACTGGAAGTCGTACTTTTAAAGTGTACAGGGGCCCTAGAAGTGATTCGCTTGACCCCAAGTTCACTTTTAGCACAGTTAAGCAACCTGAGACACTGATGGTGTGGGGTTGCTTCTTGTACTTTGGAACTGGTGATCTTGTTGTGCTACCTAGGAATGTGATGATGAACCAATTTAAATACTTGGAGCTACTTTATGATTATTTGCCAGGTCTTTTGAAAAATGCAGCGCTGATGTGTTTATGCAGGATGGTACCCCAATGTCACACAGCAAAATCTGTAATACAATGGCTTGTTGACTGCCAGGTAGACTTCATGAGTTATTGGCCAAGTAATATGCCTGACCTTAACTCGATAGTAAATAAGTGGAGCATTATTATACTTCGTCTACAAGGCAAGGACACAAATACTGTCCCCAAGCTGGAGGCAGCCATTCGTGAGGAGTGGAATAATTTACCCACAAATAATCCACAACTTGGCAGAGACAGTTCCTTCATGCCTGCAAGAGTGTATCAAGAGAAAAGGGAGGCCTATAGACTACCCGAAGATTGTTAACTTATCAGATTAATTTTTTATTAATACCCCTGTACTTCATCTTGTTGTTTATGTCCGTCACGACCCTGCGCATAATGCAGTAGATCAAATAGTAATATCAACACGTCATTGCATTATAATATACAATACAGTACAGTAATAAATCAATATGAGAGAGAGTAAAACCTCGATTAACCGCCCACATATGTGGGGAACAGGCCGGCGGATAATCCGAAATGTCGGCTAATACAGTATTAAATAAAGTCTACGGATATAAAACATACATTTTCAATATACCTAACCCTAACCTACGTATCTCATTCAAGTCCCTCTATTCATTTTTGTTCATTTGCCATTCATATTTCAATAGAATTTGCTTTAAAACACTAACCACTTTAGTAAATAAATATGAACCAGCACAGAAACCGTGAATAATAAATGGAAAAGTCAAAGAACATATGTCATCATGAAAACCGTGACCAAGTCCCAGGTTGCTGATCTGACTTTCTATCTCATTTACAGACAATTGCAGGGTGTCAATTATTTCTCTTACTACAGGTTGACAATCCCTTATCCGAAATCCTTGGGACGATTGGCATTTTGGATTTCGGAATTTTTCGGTTTTCAGAATGGTTATTTATTTTTTTTTTTAGCCCACCCGGGCACAAGTCACTGACCACATTGGGGCCTGGGGGAATAAAAAAAAAATTATAATAGTAATTCATAAAGTTTAGGCCGTGTTTCTCACTTTTTATCTTTTTTCATTCTCGTATATTTCTTTATTATTATTATTATTAGTTTATTAATACAGTATTATTGTTATTATTATTATTATAAATTTTATTATTATTGTTGTTATTATTATTTTATTTTGGTGTATTTTTTTATTAAAATTTTTATTTACTATGAATAATTAGTATTATTATAATTAGTATTACTATTACATTTTCGACCCCAGGCCCCGATGTGAGTCAGTGATCTATGCCTGGGTGGGTTAATCCCTGTTGTTTAAAAAAAAAAAAAAAAAAAAAAAAAAGGCTCCACGAAAAAAATTTCGGTTTTCGGAATATCGGATAAAGAGTTGTCAACCTGTATTGACAACACTACATTCATATAGGTACTATATTGTTTCTCACTCACAATTCTTTTTTTCATTTCTTTATGGTTCTTTATCAATATTATTATTATCATTACATTATCTACATTATCGCCCCCCAGGCCCCAATGTGGGACAATGACCTGTGCCCGGTTGTTGTTGTTTTTGTTTTTTAAGGGGTCCGGGATCGGTTGTTAATCCAAAAGTCGGTTAATCGAGGTTTTAATATACAGTGTGTGTGTGTGTGTGTGTATATATATATATATACGGTGGTCCCTCGGTTAACGAACACAATCCGTTCCAGAAGGTCGTTCGTTAACCGAAAAATTCGTTAACCGAAACCATTGTTTCAATGGGTTTTTGGGTAATTGGTTCCAGCTCACTGAAAATTGCCTAAATTCAACAAAAATGGTAGAAAAGTTCACTTACTTTGAGGTGTGTATGTAGAAGGCTCCTGGATGATGATGGGAATTAGAATGGGGGTGGAGGAGAAGGAAGAAGAGAAGGCATTGGGGTGGAAGAGAAGTCACCCCATGGCACCATTTCACCCATAAAATTTTAGTTCTCTTGGTGTATTTCAAGATTATTTTCTTTAAATCAACACTGCACTGCATTATATATTGTCAATATGTAAAATATATTTCAAAATGACCAATAATTTGCTTGGAAACACAGAAAAAAAGCGTTTAGTTGAAGAGAGTCTCAAGCAAGATGTTACCTCCAGTGAAAACAGAGAGAGACTAATGCCTGTTTGCTGTGTTAAGAGGCTGGATGCCGCGCATTAAACTAGTCACTTTACCTTCAATTATGTTCTATAATTGTTAAAATGACTAAAAAATTGAATAATACACTTTTAAAATTATTGAATAGTATAAACTTCTTGATATTTACTAAAATAGAAAGAAATTTAAGCCCTAGAACCGAATTTAAGAATCTTATGGGAGGCAGTTCGTTGACCGAAATTTCGTTAACCGAGGGACCACTGTATATATATATATATATATATATATATATATATATATATATATATATAT